TCGACAAGACACTAGTTTTTGCAGCATCTTGGATGGGCACAAACTCTAGTATTGTATGCAGTATGCAATTTGGTAAGTCACCGATAGTTATAGACTTTCTCGCATTTCCAGTTACCTCACTCATACTTCTTCTCTGAAATATTTTGCAATTCTGTTTTAGTTGAACTATAAATAGTTGTCTCAGTTTGGGGATATTACTGCACTGTGGTGAAATAAGAAAGAAAGCCAATAGGCACTTTTATTGAGTTCTTCAAAGGACTTCTTTGTCGAACTTCTCAAGCCTGTTCATTCCATTGAATTCATTTAACAAATCATGTTTTATTGAGTTTTTCAAATGACTTTTTGTTGGACTTCCAAGTCTGTTCATTTCCATAAAATTCATTTGACCTATTAAGATGTTCATCTTACTTGTCCAATATTTATCTGACACACTTAATGAGTAATGAATAAAATGTCAATTTTATTTTATCACTCTTTGAATATATAATAAATTTAATGCTTTAGGAAATGTACAGGAAAAATGACTATAGTTAATACCCCCTCTGTCCAACAATACTTGTTCATTATTGACTTTGCATATTTTTTAAGAAACTATAAATAAAAGAGTAATTTTATTGTATCACCCTTTGAATATAATAAATACAATATCATTTTATAGAGTGAACAAGTAATTGTTTGACATCTCAAAATAGTATAATGGACAACTATTGTTGGACGGAGGGAGTAATAAGTATAAAATTAGGATGAATTTCCTCTGTTCACTTACTACTTGTTATTCTTTGCTTCACGAGAGTCCATTTGAGTTATCTTTGGAGATAAATTTGATTGACTCAATATATTTCATTGATACTCAGTGGAATTTTAATTTTTCTATGAGTGTATGAAATTGGTTTCAACTGCCCACAAGTAAGGAGTTTATAAAAGAAACTGAAACCGATTTCATTTGATTTCATAGGGCTTAGCCAACCAAGAGAAATGAGACGTTAAGGAACCACAAAGTCATGAATTAAGAAATTCAAAATCGTAATTCAGGCAGTCCCCTCAAACTAATATGTATGTTTTACTGTACGTCGACAAATATATAGACACTGATTGGTAGTACTGTCGAGTGGCACACAACAAAATTTGATACAAGTATCGTAACAGCAACAGATATTTGCATTTTGTGTATTATAGTATGCATGCCAAAATCTCCATAGACATAAGAATCTTCAGAAAAGGCTTGACCAAAGCATAATTTTCGAATAAACAACCACATATTAGTTCGATCATGTGGCAAGTCTCGTGAAGGATAGCCACAATATATCTAGACCATACTCAAACATTTAAGGACTACTTCTGCTTTAGATGATGTGCATGCCGAAATGCATTTCCAACACCAAGTAAACAGACTTTTTTGGAAGCGACTTGCTGACACAATTTAATTTGACTTGAACATGAATTCAGGTGAAGCAATTCAAATGCTTTACTTCCTGTTAAATTGATGAACGAGAAAAACACAAAGTAACCGACAACATTGTGTTCAAATAAACAACCATATCTTATTTCATGCCATAAGTCTCATTTCATAGATCAGTCAAGAATACGCAGATCCCCTATCATTGTAATACCAAAATCATAATGAAACAGATTAGTCACCATATTAAGGCATTATAAACAATTTCTACTTCAGTTGATGCATGCCGAAACAAGTCTAGCACAATGAGGATTGTGATTGTTTTGCTAGCATGATCATTGGCTGTCAAGGGCGCAATTAGCATTCTCTCCAGCACGGAAGACTTGGCCAACAAAAGCTTAAAAAGTAGCACCTCAGGGTCTGAGCATATAGTACGTCCTATGAAAGATTACAATTCAAGACATACTGGAATATTGAGGATAAGAATTTACACTGATTAGTACTTTCTTGACGTATTACTTCTTCAGAGTTTCCTAATGTATAAGAATTGGTACCTCACCGCGGAGATTGAACCGCGTGAACATTAATATATGACAGTATTTTCATCATCCGACAAAAATTGCGTATTTAACTTTAGTACAAATACATAATAGTTGTTGGGTAACCATTTGTGAAATTTACCAATATAGAATTTAAACTTTAATCTTCCACAATGGAACAACTTACATATGCCAAAGCAAATCGGACTATGAATGGGATAATATCATAAACATAAAATAAGGAAAATTTGTAGAAGAAATCAACTTCCTTTGTTGCTAGATAGTAGGCAGCAAGAGAAAGCTAGTTGAAGAAGCATAGAAAACCCTGTTGAAAGAAACTGATTCGCCACTTTAAGAAAGTATTTTCGAACTAATGCCACTTAAATTTAAATATGAAATCAATGCATTTTATACCATAAAAGTCGTAATACACAACAAGGATCGATGCATCCTTGAGTACTTAACCACTACTGATTTTGGTGATGCTCGAGTAATGCAGCTTAGCAGTTCGCTCAATTGTTCCTCAAAACTTGTGGCATTTCCGTTATCGCACTGTTCAATAATCATCCTCTCAAGTGTTTTAGAATGAGAAATGAGGACTCTTATTAAGTACATTTCAGTACTTGATCCCTTAAATTTCCTTAACCTCACTATCTGAATCAATTTCAGAGCTTCATTCACCTGGTCTTCTTCCATTGATAAATAAAATAACAGTTTCGTCGAGTCCTTCAATGTCTCATCAACCTGAAGAAAAAGACACAAAATAGTCAACCTACATTCCCAAAGATACATACTTTTTAATTTAGGCAGCATGGTTAAAACAAAAACTGTTACGACAGAAAAAGAACTTACAAAATTTCCAGTTCTAAATATTTCACAACACTTGTGTGACTAAAATACAGATGAAAAGTTCTTTAAAAATTTCAAATATTGAAAAATATGATATAAAAACTAATTCTTGTTAGGAAGGGAATGTCTTACCTTCACAACCTCATCTATTTCAATTTCATGAAGGTTTGGAGAATTGCGAAGTAGGTAAAACGTGCATGAAATACTTTCAACTGAAATTTTGAAGTCAAAAATTTTGAGGCTCTGCAGTTTTAGTGGTCGGCGAAGCATTTCTTTCATATAAACGGTCTGTAGTTCCTGCAACAACAGATCGGCAGAAAAAGTAAAATTATGCCAAAACAACTAGGAATCAAAAATACCATAAGCACAAACAATATTTTGTCACCTCTAGGGATGTTCCATTCAGGCAAAGATGTTTAATCCTTGCAAAGATCGGGTTTACATTGGAACACTCAAATGTAATTGTATAGCTGCTAACAATAGACATGTTGTCAAGTTTTGGACAAACCAAATTAACAAAATCTACACCAACACAAAATCTTAACTCCAAATTCTCAAGCATTGACAAATTAAGTGTGTCTTCTGATCCTCGATGATCAGCAATTTTAGAATGCTCTAACTGAAGGCTAATAAGATTGGGATATTGGGTACCACCTGGAAGCTTAAAGACACACCTTGAGAGCTTCAATTGCGTTAATGTTGCACAAGTAAATATTCTATCAGGCAACAAGTAATTTTCATCGTTTGCCATGTCGAGAGTGAGCTTCTGGATACCATGCTCCGAGACAAAAATGATGCATTGATCCACATCTGACTGTGCTAGTTTGCACGTACTCGAGATAAGATGAAATCCCATTATATTTCCAGTGTGTTGCATTAGAATCTTATGAATTACGGTTGCAGCAGAAGCACCAATATTAGATACATACTGAAAAAACAGGGGACCGAACACAAGGTATGGCAGCGTGGACCAAATAGGTATCCATTTCTTCGATAAGACGCTAGTTCTTGCAGCATCCTGGATAGGCATAAACTCTAGTATGTTATGTAATATGCAATCTGGTAAGTCATCGCTAGTGGTAGACTTCCTTGCCTTACTGGCTAATTCACTCATACTTCTTCTCTGAAATATTTTACAATTCTGTTTTGGTTGAAACATGAATTGAAGCTCTATAAATAGTATTATCAGGAAAAGAAAGTCAATAGGCACTTTTATTGAGTTCTTCAAAGGACATTTTGTTGAACTTCTCAACGCTGGAACCAAGATATGGATGCTAAATTAATTCAATATTTTGAATTTTAAATTTTTATGTTCGAAGACTAGATGATTTTTTTTCATTAAGTTACAATTCCACTAATATTAACACGATGAAAAAATACATATTAAAATGTTGGTCCAAGTTTTTATATTCTGGAGAAGCGGAACATGACGAATAAAAGTTAACAGAGGAAGTGAACAAGTAAAAAAGGATTGAGCATCCGGAGTCAAGAAATTACAACTTCCTTAAGAATGCCTAATTTCTCAATTTTTTCCAGAGACGGTTCTCTCTCATACAACTTACAAGAAATTACATTGATTACGAGAACAAAACACACTTTGGATAACAAATGACTCGAAATAGTTTTAAATGATAAAAATTTGAGCAAACTAATGATCGAAAATTTAATATTTCAGTAGAATAAGTTACAATATACTCCTTTTGTTCCTATTTACTTGTTCATTTCTTAAGTAAACAAGTCATTTTAATTATTTCAATTACTATTGTTTAAGATTGAAGTGGAGTAGTTATTGCTATTGCTCTTGGGGAAAAAAGTTTATCAACTCGTTTGGAAGATATAAATAAATACATCAGATAATACTCTGATGAACAACTAAAGTCCACATCGGTTGTGGATTTAGACTTCGTCTCCTTGTATGATCTTAGAGAATGCTCAGCTCATAAATCTTTTGGGGTTGAATTAAGTTTAATGTCCAATTTGATCATGAACGATATCTAATTTCACAAATTGATAGGATTACAAGCGTAAAAAAGGGGTGAAATTATGCAAAGACTCCCAACAGATATGCAGATTATATTCAATATTCAATTTAAATATGAAATAAATGCCACTTCATGAATCAGTCCTAAATGTACTTGATTTCTGCTATTGGTAATGATCAGATCGACCATAGTGTACAAGTTCCTTCAAACGATTCAATACAGCAGGTGGCGTTACTAGTTTTCTTCCAGTTTTTTGAGGCTCATCCTCTTGAGATTTGGAGAATTAACAAGGATAACTTCTACCAAGTACATTTCAATAGCTGTCCCTTGGAATTTCCTTAACGTCACTTTTTGAATGGTCTGAAGAGCTTCACTGATCACTTGGTCATGTGACTTCAAGTAATAGAACAGTTCTGATGAGTGATTTCGTGTCACATCAACCTAAAAGAAACAGTAATATAGAACAAAATCAGTCAATACAGATAACATTAACATACAACTATACCTAGTAGAGAACTCAAAAAATATCGCTGAAGTTGTTCAATATTTAACAGAGGCACTAAATACAACTCCATTAATAAGGAAAATGAAGGTTGCATATAATCTATATAATGCAATCATACACGAAATTTTACCAAGGGTGTGCAAGATTCAATTATGTATACAAAGTTATACTTAACCTATTTCACAGTATAATTTTCCGGCAAACAATATTTAAGCATGATGGACTTAAATCTACAGTTTTTGAGCCTATGTAGCTCGGACACAACATTTGTTATTCACGATATGTGTCTTACCTTCTCAAGTAAATCTAAGTCGAGTTCAACAAGCATACCACAATTCCTCAGTAGGTAAAATAGACTGGAAAAACACTTCACATTAATCTTCAAGTCAGAAATTTTCAGGCTTTGCAAGTTTAGTGATACATCAAGCGTATCTGTCGCAGGAACTAATGCTAACTCCTGAAAAAACAAAAAAAAATATTTGAGATTCGATTGCTTAGGATAACAATTTTTATTTTAAAAAACTGCAAGGTATTGATTAATTTTCTCGCCTTTAGGGATGAGCCATCCAAGCAAAGGTGCTTGATTCTTCCGAACAATGATTTCACATCAAAACACTGAAACGTAATTGTATAGCTGGTAAGGATAGACAAGTTCACAAGTTTTGGACAAACCAAATTAACGGAATGAACATTAAAACAGCACATTAACTCCAATGTCTCAAGCATTGGCAGAATAAGAGTTGCGTTATTTGATCCAACAGGACGTTCAATTGAAAAAAGTTTCAACTGAAGGCTAACAAGATTGGGGAATTGGGCATCAGGAACAGGCAGCTTAAGCATACACCTCGATAGCTTCAAATCTGTCAACGTTGAACAAGTGAATATGCTATGAGGCAACACATATTTCCAATCAGTGGCCATATCTAGAGTGAACTTCTCTACACCATGATTCGAGACAAACATGATGAATTGATCCACATCTGACTGTAAAAGTGTGTGTGACTTCGATATAAGATGGAACCCCTGAATACTTTCAGTATGTTGCATTAGAATTTTACGGATTATGCTTGCAGCAGAAGCCCCAACATGATCAAAGAACAGGTGATCAAACACAAAATGTGGCAGTGTGGACCATACATGTAGCCATTGCTTTGATAAGATGCTTGTTACTACGGTATCTTTGATGGGCAGTTTCTCTAGTATTCTATGCAGTATGTCATTTGGTAAATCGCCAATAACTGTTGATTTCGTTAAATCACTAGCTACCTCGCGTAGACTCATACTTCTTCTCTGAAATATTTTATATTTGATAAATCTATTTTGATTGAAGAGCTATAAATAGTTGCTTTGTTAGTAGCAGTAGAAGGCAGAAAACCAATAGTCACTTATTCATTGTTATAAATATAAATTCATTGAATTAGTGATTTTGTTCATATTCTCAATACATGAACTACTTACATTCATGTATGTATATTGCTTAGGTTCTATGGACCATCTTTTAGTGATTTTTAAGCCTACATATATGGCTGTTCTTTCACCAGTTTTGGAGAGATATGAAGACATTTAAATAAAATGATGTATACATTCTACTCTCTGTATTTAGCTTAGTATATTACAACAATAATATACATGTTTTCCAGCCTCGACCGAATAATACTTGCCAACAGCTGATAGTATTTTCAGAAAAGGATACTTTCTTAAATAGGGATACTTACCAATATGTACGGACTATAAAAATAATTTTAACAAAATGGTCATATGTAATGTATCGAGATGTATATTCTCTTTTCGTTGCCAATAATGGACAGTTCACTATATGATTTGTTGAAAAATCTGAAAACACTCTGTTCCGATATATTTCTGAAATACTTGGAGACATGAGACTGGAAAACTTGATTCTTTAAATGGTACGAAAAGACGGAAGGGAAAGATGATCATGAGATTAAAAGACACAGCAATCATGAGAGTTGAAGTTTCAAAAGCTTCCATTAGATACTATCAGGATAGTCACAAGCAATCCATCAACCGAATACTGAAAATAGACGGGTAGCAAACTACACAAACAGACAATTGAAAGAGCCACGAGTTTGGCTCACTTAGTTCAAAAGAAACATTCCAAAACTTTGGAAATTAATAAGAACAATCCTAGATTGTCAATAGGTCGCAAATTAGGTTACAGAGAAAAGATAGTCTAGTTTCTTCATTGTTGTTGAAGTCTCAACAACATCTTAATTCCTTCAGCAGAAAACTGATCACTCCTTAGTTTCTTTCGCAGGAGACTGAACTTCAATATCCACAGCATCCCCTTGAGAAGTGCTTCCATTTGATGCATCCCCCTGATAGGATGTGAGGTTGCAGCCTGAAGCTGGATTAACCATTGAACTCCTTAACAACAAACGAGCTCTTCTCGTGGATCCACAACCACCATCATACTCACGATAACGATGCAAGTACAAAGCCAAGGTTTCAACGTAGTCATCATAACCAAACCTGTCCAAGGCGCGAAGCAGGTCTTCAGCGGTGATGGTCTTGCGCTGATCAAGCTGGCAACAATTGTTGGCTTCGCCTGTTATGAAGCCTATGAACTCAGAGACACATTCTTGGATCATCAACTTGAAGCCATCGGATATCTGGACATTGGGAGGAAGGATTTTGCGCATGATTCTGATCACGTTTGTTATTGGCATGAATCGGTCATGCTCCCGAATGGTACGTTCAGAATGTTCTACATTGGCAGCAATTGTCTGCTCGAGATGAGCAGGCAGTTCCAGGCTCATCTCCATATCTTAATTTCACACAACAACAAAGCATCAGAGTGAAATGAAAAAGAAGTATTACATATATCATCAGTCTACTTCCATCAAAATCACAGTTTTTATTAATTAACTTTTCAAGTAGTGAAGAAATTACAAAAATAATCGCACACACATATATATATCTTTCACTAATTATTAGATGGAAATGACAATAGTACTAGTGTAAGACAGCACTATGAATTTTAGAAAATATTCATGTAAACACCAAAAGCAAATATTATTTCAACAAAAGATATGGCTGGTGTGAATACAGACTAATTAATGTGACATATATCGCTTCAAATAATGTTCTCATCATCTATCTTAGTTTGTCCGATCTTCAACTGACCCTTGTATACATCCAAAATTACCTCTGATATAGGAATACGACAAAATTTTATTGTAACGGACACTAATCTACCCACTGTTTTCATACCTATATTTGTTCATAAATTTCTATGCTATGCTTCTTGAACTATGGATAAAGAAATTCTAGCTACATTTCAATCAACTTCTTAAATGTATTTCAATTTCATTGCAAAAGCGGAGAGTATATATATAGAAAGATCTCCTCGGATATTTAGGCAAATTTTAAGCCAAAATTAAAGCTATGCAATACACCTAGCTGGTTTTCAAACTTGCTAGCTTTAGACGGTATGTTTCTCGTTCTCTTTTTTTATTATTCTTTTTGGACGGGAGACACGCGTAAAAAAAAAGGGTAGAGAGGACATATTATAGGTTAAAAAGTCTGCATGTATGCCACTTGTTTCCATTTTGTCTTTACAGTTCCAAGAGAAAACATGAAATGGTCGTGTTGATCACCTTTACCATTAATCGATCCATTGATCTTTGATATACAAACAACTAGCTTTGCAAATATATACATATGGAAAAGATATGCATATATAGTCCCTAGCTAATTAAAGAAGATGATACAGCAAGCTAAGAAACGTATACAAGTTGCAGCTCTCCATTTTTACCAGATCAACTCATGATATATATATATATATATATATATATACACACACACACACATTCAATAGAGCTAAAAGAGATAACGAAAAATTAACAAGAATGGGCGAAAATTAGTGGGTCAAAGAACAATACTTAAATTCTATAGAAGAGTGGTGCGCGTGTAGCCTTACCCCTACCTTGTGAAGCTAGAGAGATTGTTCTTAATATAGACACTCGGCTCGAGAAAGCATATCAAAATCAAATATATATAAAGCAAATACAAAGTTTCACGGATGTTCCATCGGAAGGAGAATGCATTTATAAAAGTAAAACAGAAGCTAGGAAGCATACCAGGCGAAGGGGAACGGGCAGAGGTTCGTTGCGGGGATCTGCAATAGCTATGAAATCCTCCATCTCCTGAACCAACAAGATTACCATCATCCATCTCTCTCTCTCTACATATATATCTATCTCTGTATATGGCTATTGGCAAGTAGTAAGTGCCATATTTATAGATAAAATATTTAAGTGAAAGGGCGACGCGTGGCAACACGGCGTTGTGTACGAGAAGAAGTTAATAGGCTTTCACAGTTGGGTAGATGGGGATTGACCAGAAACGACATTACTATTTACTCCTACTTCTTCCGTTCCAAAATAATAGTTACTTTAGCTCATTTCATTCCCATTAATGAAAATAACAAATTGAAGGTATAATAGTTCTTTAATACTAGAGTAAAGATGAAAAAACATGCTAATTTTATCATGAATTCCTATGATGAAACTTATTTTGGGACTAATTTTTTTTTTTTTGTTAAGTGACTCTTATTTTGGGACCGAAGGAGTATATATATTACTTACGGTGTAATTCAGCCATTTCCCTTGAACTTTTTCTCCCTTCTCGACAATTTATAGTTCCACTCCTATAAAAACCGTCCCCATTCATTCAAATTCTCACAAAAACTGTCAACTTCGCATTTCAGAATACTACACTAAGGCACCACAATTCACGTTGAAGCAAATATCTAAATTTGTATGTAAATATTTCTAAGAGAAATAAAATATTATTCGATGTGCTAGAAGCAAGATATCTAGTGAAATTCTCATAGTAACAGAAAGGAACTAGCAAAGATATACTGCAAAATCCTTCGATTGTCGAGAAAAGCCACACGTTAAGTGATCATAATAAGGTGATATACAGATTTCAAAACCCAAAAACAAATAAAACATCATAAGTTCAAGGCATATATTAATTGATAAATTTTAATATAGGTACTAGAATTATTTCTTTAGCATCAGCATAGCACATGATAAGAAATTTAATGCTGACTGTACTCTAAACCTGCTTAGATTGCTTTGGTGAGTACTTCTCCACAAGCTTAGCCAGTTCGAGGTCCAATCTCTTCTCAATTGCAATTACCTCTTCCATGTCTTTTACCTCTGTCATGTAACCATAAAGCTTACGTATTCCCCCGGGATAAAGGCGAGCTGGATTGCGTTCCCACGCATCCTTATCTCTTCCTTTTACAGAAAACTGTTAACAGAGAACCTGAGCCTGTATGTATCCCATAGCAGTGGCCTCAAAGATCAATACACTGATGCCACGATGGCCTTGTGGACCATATGAATGTCGAACAGAGTTGATAAGAGTGCAAGAGCTGAAAAAATCGCGTAGCTCCTGATTTCCCATTCCAATCCGCTTTTCATTGTCATCTTTCGCAAGAGCCGTGTTCATGATAATCACCATCGGTGGCCACAATATTTTCTTATCTTCAGATTCAACACCATCCCATTGGCCATACACCTCACTCGCAGGAACCACAGTAGTTCCTCTCAGACGCAGCTCCTCCTCCAAAAGTTGAGCGAGCTCTCTATGTAATTTTGATCCACCTTTCGTTTTTGTGTGGAGCACCAATGATTGCAACCCTTTAAACCACATAATTCCACCTGGATCACCTTTGCAGGCAGGGCAGTGCCACTGTCGTTCAGGATCATTAATCGTAGTAATAGTCAACTTGTCGAGACATTGAAAAAACTTCTTAAACCAACGACTTTTCTTGCGCTCCTCAAAACTCATTTCTTTCATATCTGAGTGATCATATAAATCATCACCACTCAGAAATTCATATTTATCGCTGTCATCATCTGGTAAATCTAATTCATCATCCTCCCTATCAGATTCACGGCCCATAACATCATATCATCAGAAACAGGGGAACTGGATGATCCAACATTGCTACGCAATCCCAATTTCTGAACAACATCTGGTTGACACCAAGATTTTGAAGTGGGATTTTGAGGAATCCATTGCTTCTTCCCTGCACCGCTTCTGAGGAATCCATCATTTTGATCAGATTTGACGCTTAAATCTCCAACACCTACATTTACCTCATCAACCCCATATGTTTCGGAGGTAGTTTTCTGCTTTGCTGATTCATTACCAGGCTTTTCAACTCCTTTATTGCTACTGGAACTCATATTTGAATGAAACAAATCGACTAGAGATGGATGAGTGAGAATGCAACTTGCTAGTCT